TAATAATAATAATAATAATAATAATAATAATAATAATAATAATAAAAAAACAATAATAGAAATGAGAAAATTCTAACAGTTTCTAATATCCCATGTAGTAAAATTTAGACATAAAATAGATATAAACTTAGAAAAACTTTCAAATTATGAGAATCGTGCCCATCAAGGAAATTAACATTATATAATATTAGGCTACTGCCACTATGTGTTTTGTGAGAAATTTTGTTTAACTGTCCATTGAATTCATATAATTTATGTAAATTTCCTAAATACATTCTGATTACGTCCAAGCATAGAGAGAAAAATGGAGTGACGTTTCGGAACAGAAAATTGTACCACTCAGTAGAGGTATTCAGAGATAACTTAAATCAGACATTGAGATAGAAAGGTACGTAGCCGACGTGGTGAAAATTTAGACGAATTATGCGACCGAGATAATAATTACTGAATACATTACGCAAGTACTGGAACATTGCTCACAAACGCATGAATAACGTCACCACAAATATACATACTGTCGCGTGTTGGGCGAATAACACGACAAATAACTTCACGATGTATTTGATGTAGCGAATTTTATTTCACACTCGCTCTTACAATCACCCAAATTGACAGTTTTACAATTACTGCTATCTGCAGTATCACAAATACTACACCCCAAATGCCACAATACAACTGGTTGGTTGCTGGCTAACTCGGAACTAACTCGGAGGTAACTCGAGGACTAACTGTGAATAGCCTTCGCTGCTCCTCATGCAGCCTCGATCGGACAATACAGAAAACGGCCATGTAATAAGCACCCTTGTTGCCTGGCGCTGTGTTGCTAGCAACGCTTGCGGTACTAACCGCTGTTACTACCGTCGTCTCTCGCAATCTTGTTTAACCGCGCTGCCTAGCAACCCGCGGTACACTTGGTGACGTCATCGATGTTGACTCGCGTTGCCTAGCGACCAGGATGCAAGGACTCGGCTAACTTCGGCTCACTTCGGCTTCGCTCGGCGCATCAAGGCTGGCGGAGGGGAGGGAAGAGCGTCATCCATGGGTCAACATGTCGCAATATACTTGCTCTTTGTCTCCAGGAACACAGGTGCAAGAAGACGGGATGCAGAAGAATATTCACAAATAAAAGATATCTGTTGGACCATATAAGACGGCACGATAGAGTGAAATATCCCGTAAGAAAGCGACCAGCAACCAGCGTATGCCTTCAGCTGCCCTCTCTACTCAGACCTCGCCTGCTGTAACGGCTGGGACGAGCTTGTCCTACAGGGATGTTGCCGTCGTTGTGATTTCACCCTCTTGGCCTACACCGCTTCCTCATCCTGACGGATTTAAAACCGTTAGGTACAGAAATAGGACCATCACATCCACCACCACCGCCACCACTCCTGCTGAAAGTGCCCTTGTCAACAAGGTTAACCTTCGTGGAAAAGCCATCATCGGTATTAGTAGCTGGCAATCGTTGCCAGTCGTCAAAAAAGCTGAAAGATCTAAGGCACTATTTGTCTCTCGGTTTAGCCCCGAGGTTACTGCTGATGATGTACACAAATCATTGAAGGAGCAATTGAGTCTAAAACAGTTGGTCTGCACCAGAAACAAACTAAATTCAACTCGTACTCTTCCTTTCATATTTCTGTATTGGAAGACGAATTTGCTCTAATAAATAGCACTGGTGTCAGGCCTTCTGTTTGCTTAATTGCTCTAAATTATGGTAAACTTACCGCGGACCAGATATTTACCCCCAGCGCATCTGAAGCTGCAGCTCCCGCTGCTGCTGTTAAAACTGCAACAAATCCAGCGGGTAACGATGGGGCTAACGGAGGGAGCTCGACATCCACATAAACATGGCCTCTTTCAGTGATGCGAGCACGAGTCGTTCGGCAATGTCACATGCGAATTTCAGTAACTGGCTTGGTATTTACTATCAAAATGTTAGAGGTTTCAGGACCAAACTACTTGCACTTTACGACAACGTGTGCGTCTCCAATTTCGACATAATTTGACTTTCCGAGACATGGTTCAGCTACCTGAGCTACGATCACAATCTGTTTCCTAACCATTTTACCGTTTACCGGACTGACCGACCATACACGTGTTTAAACAACGCTCGCGGTGTTGGCGTATTAACAGTAATTACCCCTAGCCTGGGACACCTCTTTCTAGTTGTCATTATTATTCTAAACTCAAAGGGAACTCTATATTCACCTCTAGATATTTTCTGGCCCTAAGGCAGTGCGTTGACGATGTTGACACTATTAACATGCTTAAGCTAGCCTTTACAAATTTCACTGATTTAAAGTCTGTTCCTGCCGACTCTGGATTGGTCGCGCCTGATATATATCACCCTCCTTTGAATATTGATATTCTTCTACCTCATGTTAATAATAATTAAAATTGTGAGTTCAATTATCAAAATTTTGCCGCAGGCAACTACACTTTGCTTTACACCATTCTATCAACTTACAATTGGTCAAGTGTGTATGAAATCTCTTTTGTTATTGTAGCAGTCGCCAGCCTCAGTGTTGCTGTCAGAAATGTCATGGAGCAGGCAATTCCTTGTGGGTATCGCTGCAAGTCTACATTCCCTCACTGGTTCTCCTATACCTTAAGGTATTACGTCACCAAGAAAAATTATTTCCAACGTCGTTTTAAAAATAATCCTTCTGATTACTTTTACGACAGGTTCGCCTATTATCGAAAACTAGTTAAAAGCACCATCAAGTCCGACAGGCTTAGGTGGTTGAAGACAGTTGATAACAATTTAAAGTCACAGCCCCAACATTTCTGGAAAGACATATCTAATTTCAGAAAACACAGATCCGGTTCCATTTTTCTAGAAATTGATGGTACACACCTAGTCCAGCCCGAAGTTGCTGCTGATGCATTCGCTAAGCACTTTCAATCTGTTTACAATAACCACTTCTCTAGGGTCATTCGCCCTCTCTCGCAATCTTCTGAAATTTTATCCCTCGCCCCCCTTTCTGATGCCGATGTCTACAAAGTCATCAAGAGAATAAAACCATCAAAATGTGTTGGGCTAGACGGTATTCCTGGTTTTATCATCAAAGGTTGTGCAGGTATTTTTATTCCTGTACTTAGGCATATATTTAACTAGAGGCTGACGCAGCAGTATTTTCCTGCTGCATGGAAAGCTCTGCTGTTGTACCAATATTTAAAAGAGGCGATCATGCCGCTGTGAGCAACTACATGCCTATTTCTATTCTCAGTAATTTCTCTAAATTGTTTCAATTCATTACCCATCATCCTGTTTCTCATTTCGCTAAATTTAATTCCAATCAACATGGCTTTACCAGAACTAAATCTACAGTTACAAATTTGATGACGTTTCTCGACTTCTTGACGCCTGTTGCCCGCGGTCAGCGTAAAGCTGATACCCTCTATTATGATGTTTCTAATGCTTTTCACCTCGTCCCTCATAATATGCTCTTGCATAAATTAAGTTCCTTCGGATTCCCTGATGCTTATGTTAACTATTTTCGCAGGTACTTAGCCAACAGACAATCTCGGTTTCGCCTTTCTAGCACTCTCTCCCTGCCATTTCAACTAACGTCCGGTGAGCTGCAAGGCTCTGTTCTGGGGCCGTTTCTCTTCAACGTATTTATAAATGATTTATGGGACTCCCTTAACTACTGTACATTTCTAATTTTGCGATTATCCAAAAATTCTCCGCATTATTAACTCTCCAAATGATTACCTCTCACTTCAATCTAACATTAATTCCGTAAGTGACTGGTGAACTACCAACTCCATGAAACTTAATGCTGCAAAAATGCTTGTTGTTTCATACACCAGAAAAAACACATTTTTGAGCTACGACTATCAGCTTTGTCATGCTATCATTACACGCACCAGCAGTATTAAGGACCAGGCTGTTTTCTTTGATTCAAAGTTACATTTTCACACTCATGTTAATTATATATTTTCTGAATGCATAAAGGTTTATTCGCTCCATTAGCTACAGGGTTTCGTATCTGGAGAATCTGTATGTACTGTATTTTACTTTGTCAGGTCCAAGTTGAAATATGCCTCAGTTTTTCGGAACTCCATTAACTCGACTGCTGCCAATAAGCTTGATGGCATCCAGCAGAAATTTCGTCCGTTTTTACCGTTTTTTTCCTCATATTTCTTTGATCCATTAAAACTTGAATTGTTTCATATTTTATGGCTGCCATGTCTATTCCAATCAAAATTGATAATTACATATATATTAATTTCCTCACTTCTCAATGATAGGTTTGATTTATATTGATAGAGTTATTATTAAAATCATTAAATTTTTGTTCTTATTCTTATTCTTATTATTATTATTATTATTACTAACTTCTGAGTGTGTATGTACATGTATTTCCTTCCTGGCCACAAATTGAATGACTATTGGAAATGTTCTTATTTTATTTTCTCGCCTGTTAAATTTAACTTCCAATTTTCTTGAAATAGTTTATATTGCTATATATATTGCTATTATATAGACTGTCATATTTTCTATTTTGTTCTTTAATCATTTTTGTTTATTTCCATATACCCGAACTAACTTTGAAACTAGCCACTGTGCTGTTAAGTTTGCACTTAAATAAACACGAAATGAATTGAATTATTATTGTTAGTATATGCTGCTCTCTTTGAAACTGAAATTCTCACATTGTGGCTTTGACTGTGTATGTTTGCTTCAGTATCTTTATTCATGATAACTGTCTAATTAATATACTCGTAGACTATCATTTTTGTATTTTGTTTTTAAATTATTTTGCGGAAAAGTACTAACAAGTAGACATCAATTGCCGGGCCACATGCTTTGGCACGAAGGAGTGACGATCTATACTTGTGATGTGCAGGACTGTAGGATGGCATTCAGAAGGAAAAGAGACCTGACGATTCATAAGAAAGCACACACTGGAGAGGAGCCATTTGAATGTAGCATTTGTAAGAAGTGCTTCTCCCGCAGAGAAGTTTTCAAGAGACATCTGAAAATTCACACTCGAAAGGTAAGTTCTATAGAGGAGAGTGAAGTCAGAATCAAGTGACAGTAAGAAGTGAGGCATCTCTTTCAATGGCAATGTGTATGTTCCATTTCGTTTATTCATGGGTCTCAAATAGAGAGATATTTGTCTTTGCATGACTTTCATACAACTGTCTTATCATAACAGTTCAATTCAGATTGGCCTCTTCATATCAGTATAACTAAGATCAAGCAGGTAATATCATTTGAGAATACCAAATGAACAACAAATTAAATTTACCCTGTTCTGCAGAAGAATTGACAAACGTCCCTGCTTTTTTTTAATATTGCAATCCCAGACGTATTATTTCGGATCTCAGTGTCTCCCTGTTGATTCATAAATTAATATCCAGATATGTTTACCGTTCTTATAAATTTTATCTAACGAATAATTAAGTGTATTGAACTATGGTGCTGTAAATTATGCGAAATGAAATAAGAAAACTCATGTAAGTGGCGTCCCCATTAAAGTTAAACGAGTTTCTGTAACTCTTCTGTTCTGCAATTCACCCGCACCGAAATCTGCCCTCGAGTGTGTTGTATTCCCACTCGGTGTTCAAGCTGCCCTTGTGAAAGTGTGCACAGGGGGCGCAGCCACGTTTCTCACTGAAAGCTCCAAAGGGATTTATTTAGCCACGGGCAAGTGGAAAGCTGATGCCTAAGGAGACTTCTAAATTTAAAGAATGATTCCGTTTGGAAACATAAATAGCGGGCTTCATAGACAAATTAGTAGCAATGATGATGCTTATAAAAGCGATGAGTTAAACAAAATAATTCGGTAAAGAAAGAGTGTAATATTGAGTAGGAACTTTGAAGTAAATTTTAAATTATTTCGAAAAGAAATTCTGAGTGCACCTTCTGTGCAATTAGAAGCATACTCGCTGTTCTTGTGGGAGGCAGGACATTCGAGCCATGCATATGGTGACGATTCTCTGCGCCACATGCTGCATGACGTTACTAGACGAACGCTGTATATGTTACATGAGTATATTGTTTTTCTTATTGCTAGTAGGGTGGGACTAAGTCCCTTGTACTGCGGCCACTTCTGGCATGTTGTACCACCCCAGATGATAGGTGAGGGTGATTGTGTAGCAATTTGTGGAATGAAGATTGACAAGGGAAACCGAAGTACTCGGAGAAACCTGCCCCATCGCCACTTTCTCCACCACAAAACGAAATTGACCAGCCCCGGGATCGAACCCGGGCCGCCGCGGTGGGAAGCCAGTGACTAACCGCTTGAGCTATGGCGCGGCCCATTACATGAGGGTAACGAGGGCATGTGTTCCTTTTCAGGGGACGCACTCAGGCACCACGGACGTACTTGCCACACAGGAGGGCGAATCAAGTGCGAACCAAGACAGGGAGGAAGGAGCAGAGAGCAGAGAGACAACGCAGCAAATGTGTATGTTTGGGCGGAGAGTGTACTGAGACAATTACATTTGTATAGCAGTGGCCGTGGAGAGTCTATAAACGGATGCATGAAGGTAGTAATACAGTTCTCGACACAGGGTATCCACCAGATATGTATCTGTCCCTAGACACTGTTCAAGTGCCGTCTGTGGTTTCCTGACGTAGAATAACAGAGAATGAAACGTAAGAGCAAGGATCCATGTTGAAACACATTAACTCAGGTTAACGGAGTTTAAAAATGCATACGAAATAATAAATATCAGAGCCTTGATATTTCTCCGATAATATTTAAACACCTAATCGTAACAAAGTATGGCGCTTTGGACGCTGGTATTATCGGCCGGTGTGTTACTTTGGAAAGCTCTTAAGAAGTTGGAAAAGCTGCGACATGCGGTTCTTGTACCTACATATATAGATACGTTTCCTTCCGTCCTGTGCAGTACACTGAGATGTTCTCAGGGAGACGTGGGACAATCAGTAATAAAAGTAGACGCTGAAATTTTGATAACGGGTTACGAGTGTGTCACATAAGATGTCAAAAACTAAAACATCGATTTTATTTGCATCGTGTATAATTACTCATTTTATTGATTATGTGACATAATATCCTTTAGATATACGTGTATTAAAATGGGTTAATTTTACAGGAGGGATAAGACATTTTTAAAATGTAACAGTGTTTTAAATATTTAATATTTTGAAAAATGGAAGTTGATATGTACATGATATATCTCATGTCCGAGGGAATGAATAAAATTGTGTGCTAGGAGAGTGAAAAAAATTCTTATCCGAGACAGTTCTTAACACGTAACTGAAACTTCATGTTCGATATATATATCAGCTAGTGTTTCGAATAGTTCCGAAAAAATTGTTATCTCTTCAATTTAGATCTCCTTAAGTTATTAGAGTCTATGAAATAGTGCCCTTTTATTCCAGAGGAACAGAGAAATCTGTAGCAGACTTCACGTGGAACTGTGTTTACGCTACTAAGCACAACAACAGCGAAATGCGGAAGCAAAACGGAAGCCAAATGCGCCTCACGATAGTAGAGTACACAAATTTCTGGAAGCTCCCGGGAATTATAATGATAAAAGTAATTCCTAAAATATATAGTCAACTGCACAGGTACCTGTTACGTGAGTTTTATGTGTTCTTAAAAAATCCTCTCCTCTTATAAATATTTGTGTCATTTACATATTTTGTATAAGTATAGGGTCCGCCCCAATTTCTAGGCTCAGGTTTACATATTCTTTAGATTTATAGACAAAACTACAGTAAACGTCGGCCAAAACGAAGAATACACGGTGCCTAAACCCAGAAGACAACTTTCTTCATTGTCATCGCCGTGAAAACCTCAAAACTTACAAAACTACAGTAGTTATAATTATTTTAAATATTTTATAACAGTTTGTTCACAAAATAAAACTGTTTCAAACGGACCCTGTTTGTTGTTACTCTGACTTGGAAAATGAATTCCATTCGTCGGGCACTTGGTCCAGTCGTCGAAAGTGAAAGGAACTGTATGAAAGAAGGATATGGCTTTATAGACGCATTTCAGTTTATAAAATGGAATTTCTTGCCGTTACAGATGACGAAAATACTCTTACCCATCAACGTTTTGCCGTCGAAGTTGATGAAAAATAATTGTTATATTTTAGTGTCCTGTTGCACTGATTCATGTCCATGATTTATGCTAACCGTCTTACAGTGCATTTAGTTTTCCACCTTCCTCTTCACTTTTACACTACATGTTTCAGCACTAATGTGCCATCGTCAGGTGTGTCTCTATGCACGTCAAACTACTGCACTGCATGTCATGATGTCCTCATTTTAAAATGACTAAAATCTGCATTCGTCATATATGACATAAAATTCTAAGTATTAAAACTTTCAGGATTCGTCATCCTATGTCGTATCTCAATACGCTAATCACGCCAATCCTCCTCTATGGGAGCATTCTTCCTACATTCATTTGTGTATTTTATTGTATTGCAGTACAACGCACCCAGTCAAAGGAGTAAGACACAATACAGAACACAATACACAAATGAATGTAGGAAGAAT